CCCAAACCTTAAACCCTAAACTCAATTGTTTTCGAATAGCAGGAGCATCCTGAGTTGGACAAGTACCTCATCGCCACCTCGGACCGTGTGCACTGTTCTTGTCAGGGGGTTTAGTTGGGGACATATTGGGGTTATATTAGGGTTATAGGGTTTAGGGTTGGGGTCATATTAGGGTCATATTAGGGTTATATTGGGCTTATATTGGGGATTATGGAAAAGAAAATGGAAACTACTATAGTATGTTGGGGTTATGTGGGGATAATGGAAAAGAAAAAGGAAACTACTAAGGGTATCGGGTTTGTAGGGATTAGGGGGAGGTAGGGTTGAGGGTTTTGGGGATTAGGGTTTAGGGTTTGGGGATGAAGGTCCAGGGATTAGGGTTTAGGATTTAGGGATTCGGGCTCAAGGATTAGGGTCTGGGATTTGGCGAGTAGGGTTAACATAGGGATCATACAAGGTTCAAGCTTTGTTGTTTCGCCTTCAGCTCAAGGGGGGGTTTGCCAAAGTTGCAACTCCTTCTGCAAGGCAAAGTATGACGACCTTACCTGACCTCACCTCAAGCTGGTGGTTTATATGGGTTTAGGGTTTAGAGTTTAGGGAATGTTCTAGTTTTCGGTGAAGGTCCGTTTAACAAAGGAACGCGACTTGAGAAAGGCTCTTGTACAATCAGCCAGTGTTGGAAAAATGCCAAGGTCGACAGCCACTGCACCTCCCTAAACTAAAATGAGGGTTTCCCAAAATTAGGGGTACCTTTTCGGGGGTCCCCATAATAGGGACTATAGTATTTTGGGGTCTATATTGGGATCCCCCTATTTTGGGAAACTCCCAGTTGATAAGATGCGTAGCCCGCTTTTTTACGATGGCAGTGTTTGTAGGGCCCTGTTTGGGGTTCCTCAAATCATGTGTCTGATGGTAGGTCCCATCCCTTTATGTCCTTAGGATCCCTAGGGGCCCGCTTTTTTGAGAAATTCCCGTGGGTTTAGGGTTTAGGGTTCAAGGGTTTAGGGTTTAAGGGCTTAGGGTCAAGGGTTTAGGGTTTAAGGGTTTAGGGTTTAAGGGCTTAGGGCTTAGGGTGTAGGGGTTTTAGGGTTTAGGGCCCATAACTTTGAAGAGAGAGTTACAGAAGGGCACTCTCGCATTGGATCCCTGCCCCGGGAGTACGGAGCCCATGTCCATTCATTATCTGAGAAGTATTGACTGTAGCTCATATAATCCCCAGATAACCCTATAGAGTCCCTATATCATACAATCCCCATAGAATCCCTAGATAATCCCTAGATTGACTGTAGCTTACAGGGCTCATGTCTCCCCATTGTCCCATTCTTGTGGCAAATATGGAGGTTTCCCAAAACTGTGGGGGGCTATAAAGGGATAGTAGACGGATATGTATATATATATATATGTATACACACATAGGGTTTAGGGTTTAGGTTTCCAAAAATTTGGGGTTGCCTTTTTGGGGTCCGCGGAACAAGGATTAGGGTATCTTGCGATCTAGATTGGGATCCTTCTATTTTGGGAAACTACCATATACAGGATCCTTTCTGGGAGGGTTACTGGAACGGGGACTTCCGTGAGTGGCGTTCCTGGGCTAAGTATATTTTTGCCCCAATACAGAACCAATATGAAATTTCTGATGTGTAAGTTTTTATGTTAGATGAAGAATGGTCTTTGGCAAGAGGGGCCGCTATATTGATTCTGGTCGGGGTCACATGTATAAGCAAAGTCCCCAATGTGAAGGAACAGCCGATCTCCGCGTTTCATCGGGGGCAGACTATTGACAAGGTGCCGGCCCAGCTACGAGTTCCGGGTTCAAAAATCTGCGCTCTTGAGTTTAGCAAACCTTCAACCCCAAACTCTTCAGGGGTGGTGTAGGGGTGGTTTAGGGTTCTGGAAGCTTCAGGATCCCTGTCTAGAAGTTGCAAGGGGATTTGGTGTTGTTGGTTGGTTATGTTGGTTGCAAAGGCATAGGAGTTGCAAGCAAAGGACATCGGAAGCACTCGCCTAGCAATGGTCAAGCCAGAGTACGGGAAGCCTGTTGCTAAAGGCAGAGTGGCAACCTAGCAAATCTTTACTGACATTCTGAGATATATAGTAGGTATATCAGGATGCCAGGGTTAAGGGCCCATACTGGGGGCCCATGGTCTCAACCTTAGAGACATGGGGTTGAGGGCGAAGTAGGGGGCTGCAGGTCCACGAGGCCAGATGTCTAGATGCCCCTCTCAACCTGAAAAGCCTGGGCATTTGCCCTAGACTGGGTTGCTGTTCAGGAACCTAAAGCAAGTTACTGTAATATGGGAGCCCTGTTATTTACTATATACTTATGACTTGTAATATGGTAGCCCGTTCTAAAGTTCCTTAACAGCAACCCATAAACCTCTCAACCCGGAAAACTCCCCAGCTGGAAAATCCAAGGGGCTCTGAACTGAAAAATTGTAATTCCCAAGAGTTTTAGGGCCTAGGGTAGTGCAAACACTCCTCCATCATCAATGAACCCTAAACCTCTGAATACCTAAACCCTAAATCCTAAACCCCTGAACAGACGCGCTTCCCGCTGCGCTACGTGGGCTACTCGTCCTGCTTCCGACGGGAAGCGGGCAGCAGCGGCCGGTACCCTAAGCAGTTGGGTACCATTGTCCAAAGTTAGGCTTTGGGGTTCAGGCTTAAGGGTTTGGGGATAGTGTTAGGATTTGGGGTTTAGGGTTTGGGGCTCAGGGTTTTGGGTTTAGGGTTTGGGATTTGGTGATCAGGGTTTAGGATGTACGGGTCCGGGTTGGCTAGGAGTTTTGGCAGATCGCATGGTCACCTCCCCCCATTCCTCAATCCTTCTCAATAGTCAATGCTATGTAGCGGCTATATATATATATATATTTATATGTATAGAATATTTGTTATTATGCGTCATGGAAATGACCTCACATACCTGAACACCGTGTCTTACGGTGTTCTTGTCCACCAATAATTGTGGTAATGGGTCCCATTGTTACGGCAAGGTGGTTCTAATACTGCAGCGCTGGGGTTTAAGGTTTCGCGATTGGAGTGACAAAGCTCTACAGTTTTCATAAGATCTTTTTACATGATGTGTACTAGCAATTGTGTAAAGAATAGTAATAACAATATGATGGCGTGCTTTCAGCTTACTGGGCCCTTGCTCCGGCAAATCGGGCCGCTAGGGAGGATCAGAGGGCTTTGGGAGAGTTCTGATTTGCCTTCCAACAAAGTTTTGATGAGGGGCTCAAGTGGCGAAGTGAGACCGGAGTTCTGGATCCGTCTATGTGGAATTTCGGGACAGTTTTGCCTTGGTTTGGAACAAGGGCGGATGAGGCTCGGTTCAGGGTGTGGAGAGTTTGCCAACCACTTTTGAGACTCCAGAAGCGCAGAGCTCAGGGATTCATGAACCCAAAACGTCTTTTCAGGGGAGAGTGGGCGCCACCATCTGCACCAAAGCTTTGAATCGTACTGCTCAAAGTGGCTCAAAGTAGGGCGCAGGTCTAGGACGCACCTGTACCGTCGCCTTTAGGGTGGTGCCCTCCCGACTTTAGGTGTTGGGACAGCCCACGTCAAAGGCATCAAAGCGATATCCCCGAGACCTCAAAAGCTAGAGCCTGCATCATATCCCCACCCCACCCTACATCCTGAACCCTAAGCCCTAAACTCTAAACCCTGCACCCAAGGCCGAGATATCCGGGGCATTTTCCGTGTGCACCAGTTCGAAAAGATCGAGCAGTTCGTGCTCTCGGACCCCGCGGAGCTGGCATCTGAGGGGAGCAGAGCCAAGGGGTGAGCATTTCAATGTTTTAGCTTTCAGGGTTTTGGTTTTAATGGAAAAGAAAATGGGAACTACTATAATGGGGTTATATAGGGTTTAGGGTTCAGGGTTTAGGGTTCAGGGTTTGGGTTATATTGGGGTTATATTTGGGTTATGTTGGGGTTATATTTGGGTTATATTCGGGTTATAATGGGGGTAATGGAAAAGAAAAAGGCGAACTACTGTGATAGGGTTTAGGGTTTAGGGTTATATTGGGGTTATATTGGGGTAATGGAAAAGAAAATGGAAACTACGATAATGGGCTTGTATAGGGCTTAGGGTTTAGGGTTCAGGGTTTGGGTTATATTGGGGTTATATTCGGGTTATATTGGGGTTATATTGGGGTAATGGAAAAGAAAATGGGAACTACTATAATGGGGTTATATAGGGTTTAAGGTTTAGGGTTTATAATTTAGAGTTGCGGTTATATTGGGGTAACGGAAAAGAAAATGGAAACTACTATTATATTGGGGTTACATAGGGGTAATGGAAAAGAAAATGGAAACTATTATTATATTGGGGTTATATATAGGGGTAATAGAAAAGAAAATGGAAACTACTATTATATTGGGGTTTTATTGGGATGATGAGAAAGAAAATGGAAACTACTATAGTACATTGGGGTTACATAGAATTTAGGGTTTTGGGTTCAGGATTTTGGGTCACGTCCGTGTCACAGGACTTGTGGGCACAGTGTTTCGGTTGTAGCGACGTCGGGTATTCACATTTCAGCATGCTGGTTCAGGATCATAAGACATCACGTATTATGATGCCCTGGGTAGGTTGTGAGAACTTGCAGAAGTTGAGAATACTGAAGGCCCAAAGCCCGAAACCGCCGTAATGATAGGGATTACATGTAGGGTCTAGGGCTGAGGGTTTACATAGGGATCATGGTAGGAAATTTCCCCAATTATGGATAGGTTTAGGCTGCATGGTTTATGTACAGGGATTATGTAGGAAAATTCTCCCATTTCTTTCAAACCCTAGACCCTACACCTAAACCCCCAATATACTATAGTAGTTTCCATTTTCTTTTCCATCATCCCAATACAACCCCAATATAACCCTAAACCTATTAATAGTAGTTTCCATTTTCTTTTCCATTACCCCAATATATAACCCCAGTATAACCCTCAATGCTAAGCCGCGTAGTAGCCTGGTGCTGAGGTCTTGGAAGGAGCATGAGTCCATGATCGCCATGGCCCAGGCTTGGCGTTTGCGCAGCAATTTTGTAGGTTTAGGGTTTAGGGTTTTATTCGGGTTTAGGCTTTAGGGTTTAGGGTTTAATTCCGGTTTAGGCTTAGGGTTCAATTAGGGTCTAGGGTTTAGGGTTTAATTAGGGAGGGTTTGGGTTCTAATTCGGGTTTTGGGTTTAGGAGCTGCAGATTTGGTAGTTTCCATGACGGGGCCCCCATACAGACTGCCAACTACCATAATTCCTTTCATGCGGACCTCCCTGAATGGTACTTCGAAATAGCGGAATTTTGGAGTAGAGAGAGGTTCGGGAAGCTCACATGTTAAGCAAGCTATTGCATGGTGTGGGGTTAAGGTTCAAAGGGACTCAGTATGTAGGCCAGCTGGGCTTATCTATTTGAACCAGAAAAGGGTCCTGCTCTGATTTTGGTAGTTTTGGGTCTCGGTGTCAGAGACCTGATACTCCGACCACTGGACCTCTTGGACCCTAGCTCGTCCCCTGGAGGTCACTTGAGCTATAGTCTAAACTCGTTAAGGGGGGTAATGTAGGGAAGTATTATAGGGGTGTTGGGGGGGGATGCTAGGAGTTTAGACTAGATCACTTGAAATCTTGAGGCCCCCGGAGGCCTTAAGGTCCCTGGAGACTGCTGGAAGCCCTTGGACCCCTGAGGTTTCGGTTGAGATCGTGGCAAGAAGGTATGCCGGTCCTTCCTCCCCGTGCAGATAGCGTGGCATGCCAGCAACGTCGCAAGACATTGAAACAAGTACAGGGACCCAAAAGGTAACATGAGCCGGGTGAAGACTGGCTATACCCCTAAACCACTGAATCCTCACCATGTTTGAAAATCCCAAAAAACCTAACATCTCCCATCTATCCCCATATTTCATGTAATCCTGTATAGCCCCCAAACCTTGCCTCATAGGAGTTCTACCAGAGCCTCGGCATCCCCTATCGGACGGTGGCCATCGTCTCAGGGGAGCTCAACAACGCAGCCGCCAAGAAGTGCGCATGAGCACATGCATGGGTTAGACAGGATTTAGAGTTTGGGGGTGAAGCATATGCCTATGCTATACAAGGTCTTATAGGACTAGATAGGGACAGATAGCGCACATATGGGTTGTATAGAGATGTATAGGCTTATAACAGGTTAGGAATGACATACATGGGTTATATAGGTATGTATGGGCATATGTGGGGTTAGGCGTGGTTATTGTCCAGGGTTATATAGGCTTAGATTGTATTTAAGGGGCTGCGCCCAGGG